GTGGAAGCTTTCCACCTGTCCGTCTTCCATCGGAGACTCCGTCCTGCTAGGTTTGGCTGGGGCCTCCTTTACCGCTTCTACCACCGGTCTTGACTCCGGGGTTGTCTTTGTTGTCATCTCTACCCCTTCCTCTGTACTTTGCAAAAGTCGTGGTCCCGTCAGGCAGACCGTCGTTTGCTGTTTGTTCACCTTCCTTCCACCTGGCGGGTGGTTTGTTAGTTTAATTTTCTGGCCGTTCAAGTCTATTTTCGGAGGCCATGTCAATACTAGCGTTTAACGCTCGTAACAAATCGAGTCCTGTAGTTCCGTCCTTATTGATCGGAAAGGGTGCTACCACAAAATCGTGGGTATATTTCAAAATACAGTGGAACCTCGCTTAACGAGCATAATTCGTTCCAGAATCTTACTCGTAATGCGAAACACTCGTTAAGGGCAACATTTTTTCCCATAAAAATTAATGTAAAATACAATAATGTGTTCCATGTCGAAAAAAATACTCAAAAAATGTTATGTATAACGTTTATTCAAAGAAAATTTTATATATATTGTTAAGGAGCATGAATCATCTTCACCTTTTCTTCTATGCGGAAAGAACCAACCTGGGATGCGAATTCCATTTGCAGAAAAGAAAAAAAAATGGAAATAATTAGTTTATTATTTATGATACATATCTAATTCTTTTTCACTAGAAAGCTGTCTAGAGACATTTGTTTTTGCCGACGCTTCAAAATTTCGTGAAAATGCGACACAGCATTATCTTTAAATAAATTTGTGGCGCGCATAGCCACTGCCTTATTAGGGTGATGCTTCTCAGCGTACGATGCAATAGTTTCCCATGCTTTCAGCATTTCTCTTATTGCGCCAGAAGATTGTTGCTTTGCTGTTACCTCCTCCCCCTCCTCCTCCTCTGACGAACTCTCCTCCACAACTTCTTGCTGTGAAACACACTGCAACTCCAAATCGTGAAAATCGTTGATGTAGACCGACTGTTATGTGCGTGCTAGATCAGCCACGCTCACACCTCGTTCTCGCTTTTCAATGATTTTACGTTTCATTTCTACGGTTATTTTTATTATCTTATGACTGTTTTTGTGGCTTTAGCTTCGGGGTCATTTTTGCAAGGGTTATTAAACTTTGCACACAAAATTCACAAATAATTTGTCTGAACACACGTTTGGAAAAATGTGTGATCACAAGTGACACTAAGATGCTAGCGGAACGAGTGCTAAACACAGACTGATGTAGCAAGCACACAATCCGGGACTTCCCCTCTCGTCACTCGTTATGCGAAACGTCACTTGTTAAGCGAGTCAATATTTTTAAATTTATTTATTTTCCTCGTTATGCGAATAACTCGTTATGGTGCTCGTTAAGGGAGGTTCCACACTTGTTCTAGTCTAGTCCCAAACATATTAACATTAAAAACATAATTCCCGGCGGAAACCTGAGGGCATAACACACTTTCCCTTACGCCTACAACGCATAGTGCTTAATCAGCTAAGCACAGGAGCAACTTGACCTTACATTTCTATGTAGATGCCTTTGTTATGACATGGCTGACGCCACAGTGACACTATCAGCTACCTGCTCTTATGTGCTCGAGACCCGTGGAAAAATTAGATTTTCCTGAAGCTCGTAATCGTTGTTCTATAACTCGACTATCCCACCTACTGGTATGCGCCCTAATTTTATAATCATGCTCTCGCTATCTATGTCTCTGTAGTCCTTTGTTGGACCTTGGCCACGTTTTCAGTTTTTTAATCTATACACAGTCGATAGTACCCGTTGGACAGGGAATCGGCCCTTCGCAAGGCCGCTACCTACACACGGAGCAACATTCAAACACAGAATAAACGCCCACAGACATTCTTACCTCAAGTGGGATTCGAACCCATGATTCCAGTGTTTCAGCGCTCGGCCGGAAACTGTGATCGGTTTGCAGTCATGATACACATACAGGATGTAAATCGAAAGTACAAACAAACTCGGGGCAAGAGTTCTATATACACGTATAACGAAAACAAGGGAAAGTGTCCATATCAATATGTAAAACGTAAAAAAAAGTAAAGCTATCCCTGTAAGAGGCCTTGGAGGCCAATGAGGTGAGACGTCGAGGCTCCCACATTATCTAGACAGTGTGCTCACAGTTGGCGGTAAGGTTGTCAGCTTTGTCCGGCCGCCCTTTACCCCCCAGGAGGATTCCTGGTACTCGTTTCTGTTGGGGGCTGAGTCAAACCCAGGGCCATTGTGCGGCTGGAAGGATTAGGTCAATAGAAAAAATCCACCTCATTGGGGCTCGAACCCGCGACCTTTCGGCCTGTAATTTATTGCCTCAACCAAATACGCTACCGCGTACCCCCTCCATATCAATATTTGTCTAGAATAATATACATATATTGTGATTAGAAGTGTTATAGTTTAGCGTACAATGCTTATTACTGCTGAGTCGACGCAATTCTGGTATAAACACACCATGCTTTTCAATGTACTACATATTTCGGTCTGTTTCGCTCATCATCATGAAGACAGCCTGTACAATCACCCATCTTTCTATCTGCTATACTGTAACCGTACCACTGCCATGAAACCTTTTAAATGTAATGTTTTTTATTAATTAAAAATTTTAATTTTTCACAATGGGATGCAATGAACAAGTGCAGTGAGACATAGGTCTGTTCTTGCATGTAAGAGTTAGCGTCTTCTCACAAGTGCAGAGAACAAGAAGACACCCCGTCGCGAGTTCTTAGAAATTTTACTTGAAAGTGTAACTACGGAATCTTTTGTGAATTCGATTCTTGACAGCTTGTGCATGCCATAACTTAAAATAGGGTAGTTTTAATAAAGCAAGCCAAGCTTAACATTTGTCAGGATTCTGACAGAAAGTACGTTGGAGCTCAGAAACCTAAACCCTTGTAATCTGTAAACGGAGTGGAGGAATAGCTAACTAAGATACTCCTACTTTTCAAATGTAACCAATCACTAAAATTTAAGGATGTGACAGAGCCGAGAAGCGGAAGGAACAAGGCCCGGGTAATTCGAAAGCAAGTCAGTTGTCGAATTCAGTCACATGCAGGCCCTTGAAGAAATCAGACGTAATGGTTACACACTGGATCTAGTAGAAACAAGACGTAAAAGTAACTGATTTGAAGTTGTATTAAGAAGCGGCTCAACAGGTGTTCAATAATAATAATTCATGTAAACTTGATGTGTTCTTTTGTAGTTTGTGTTCATTTCTTTGCTTCTCCGAGTCGTGGCCCGTTTAAGCCTCTGAGATAAAGAGACCCTCAGTTCTACAGAATTAACAAACCTCACCTCCTTATAAATTAAATAACCCTGAGATAATATTTGGTACAAGAAAGAATGCATACAAGTGTGACCAACGTGTGTGGGCGAGAGAAGATAATAATTGAGTTTAACAAAAGGTAAGGTGAGAGGGCAGTTATAAACTGGCGCCAAAATTATAAAAAGAGAGACATAAATGGGACGGTGATAAAAGTGGCGCAAAACATAGGGGCCATCGAGGTGCGCTGATAATACCTCCCTATGCTGGCCTGTGTTTACATTGTAAAAGAATGTTATCTATGTAATGCCCTTATGTTATAAAATTAACTAACTATTAAAATTTACTTTTATAATATTAAGATATTCTAATTGGAGTTAAACTCGAGTCATGTGTTGAAAGGTATGTACAGCGTAATTCATAAAGATGAACACAATTTCAATTGGCTATATTTCCTGAACCATATGTTGCATCTGAATTCTGTAAAGTACATTTGAAAGAGGGTGTTGTAAAGTTTCCAATGTTACCGCTAGAGCCCTCCAGCACCCCGTCAGTTGTAAGTGAGATGGCTAATATTCAACACAAGAATTTTTGCCTTCGTGAGTTCAGTAAAAGTGAGTCTGCGACTGCTGTGCAGAGTGCATTTCGTCGTAAGTTTAACATCCAAACTCCAACGAGGAAGAGCATTTATCTTTGGAATAAACAATTTGTAGAAACTAGCTCTCTGTGTAAGGGTAAAAGCCCAGGCCGATCGCGTGTATCGGAGGAAAACGTGGAGCGAATTCGAGTGAACTTTGAGCGTAGCTCAAATAAATCATCTCGTAGTGCTATTAGAGAACTTGGACTATCGCAAACAACTGTCTGGTGTGTATTGAGGCGCCGGTTAGTGTACAAACCATACCACCTACAACTGGTACAGGATCTTCTCTCAAACGATAAGGTAAAACGTGTAGAATTTTGTGACCGTATGGGCAAAAACATGGAAGATGAATTGTTTCTGCCTCGTGTAATTTTTAGCGATGAAACTACTTTTCACCTAAGTGGGAAAGTCAACAGGTACAATGTTCACATATGGGGGATACAAAAATCCCCGTGTGATAATCGAACATGTGAGGGACAGACCGAAAGTAAATGTGTTCTGTGCAATATCGTTAACAAAGGTTTATGGACCTTTATTTTTTGATGAAAATACGGTTACTGGAGTAACATATCTTAGAATGCTGCACAACTGGCTTGTTCCTCAATTGAATGAAGATTCAGGAGATTACATTTTCCAGCAGGACGGAGCTCCACCCCATTGGCACCTGAATGAATCTCTACCTCAACGATGGATAGGTCGCATGGGGAATGAAGACCTGACACTTCGGTTCTGGCCACAGAGGTCTCCTGATCTCACACCCTGCGACTTTCTCCTGTGTGGATTCGTGAAAGATGCAGTTTACGTACCAACTCTTCCCTCAAATTTTATTGACCTAAGACTATGTACCACAGTTGCGATGAACTCAGTGACGCAAGGTATTTGTCATCGAGTGTGGTATGAATTCAGCTGCCGTCTAGATGTTAACCGTGCAGCCAGAGGGGGGCACATTGAACATCTATAAACTTCCATGTATGTATAATCNAAGAAGCCCCCACTTCCCTGACTTTATGGGCGGAGTTTGAAGGCGATAAGTTACGGGTAGGGAATCACAGGAGTAAATTTTATTAAGTTTTCCTGGCTAGGAAATAAATAACCTCAGGTAGCCAGAGCGCACTTCCAACATTAGCCATGGGGTCTCTCTCCTGCTCGGCGATAACGTCTCTGCAAGTGTTGGTCGGCATTTTGAATGCATTCTTCAAGACGCAGACTCCGGCTGATCTCTCTTCACCGGCGAAACTAAGAGACGGCGAAACCTTCGACTTTATTATTGCAGGGGGTGGAACCGCTGGATGTGTTCTGGCTAGCAGGTCAGTCAAGAATGCCTATGTCTTTACAGATAATGGTTCCTATCATTGTTAAACTCAGTGATATATGGTCGTTTCAAGAAGTTTATAATCTTTCAGCAGGTCCAAAAATCAACTGTTTGAGTAAAATTTTAATATTCATAATCTGTTCTAAAAAGCTCACAATTTTTAATTTTTCTTAATCAGCTCAATCCTGTTAAGAGCTTTCTCAAGATTTTCCCAACAAAATTTGTAAAAAGTTTAGAGTTTCAGAAGAACACACAAATGTTAACAGCAATAAAATTTCTAATAATGATACCTTAATTACTTCATTAGAGCACTCGCTAACTGCTGTAGCTTATTAAGGCTAATACTAAAATACAAAACAGACACAAAGAAAGACAAATGTAAAGATAAAGGTAACGTCCCTGTGCTTAACTAAATAAGCACTATGCCATGAAGGAGTATGGGGGAGTGGATGTGTAGGTTCACATTTTCTTTCCCTCAGTAACAATTGGAGGTGAATGGTTAGCTTCATGCCCCGGCCGCTTTATCCCAGGAGAAAACACCCCAGATACCTATGGAATAGAAGTCTTCAACTGAACTAATCCTTGCAGCCGCGCTATGGTCCTGGCGTTTACTCAGTTTAAAAGAGAAGTGAATACCAGGAAACTTCCTGGAGGTAAAGGGCGGCCGGCGCGTAAGGCTGACTACCTTACTGCCATCTGTGAGTCGATTGTCTAGAAAATGTGGGACCCTCGACGTCTCACAACTCTATGATGGACCTCCACAGTCTGTTACAGGGATAGCTCTACTTAAAAAAATACAAAAGAAAACAAAAAATAAATATATTATGTAAATGGAACAAATAAGATTTTAACTAGAATTATACAACGGAAATGTAACTTCTAGATAAACTCTCTTCCTATTATAACAAAAAACTAACATACACTGGTAGCAACATTGGTACACTAAGCTGTAGGACAGGACTTCCACTGCTGATAGCAGTAAATATCAGTAAAAGCAGATAATTTTTTTGCCAGTCAAGTATAATCTTTTGAATATCTGGCCTTTGTCATAGATTGAATGAATTATCTACTGACCGGCCTTGTCTTTATTTGTACTAGTGCCACTTGCCGAATGAAACCTATCCTTGAAACTTGACGCTTCAAATTTGTGTTACATATTTACCACAACGAACTTCCGACTTGGATAAACTGCAGGAATTCATGGATAAGACGAGAAAGTGTTGACTTATTAGAATCACTCTGTTCCATGGAATTAGGATCTCTCGACAAACTTATCGCCCAAATTACTTCCTTGCTCATTTTTTGCTGGACAGATTGTCAGAAGTTCCTGACTGGAAGGTGCTGCTCTTAGAGGCAGGCGGCGAGGAGCCGTTGGAGGCCGATATACCAGCATTTGGGCAGAACTTGAAGCTCAGCGCACTGGACTGGCAATACTGGACACAGCCCCAGAACACTTCATGCGGTGGGGAAGCCTGCCAGTGGCCAAGGGGCAAAGTCCTTGGTGGAAGTAGCACTATCAATGACATGATTTATAACAGGGGCAACAGACTTGATTACGACCACTGGTCAGATCTGGGTGAGTACAGTTTTCTGTAATGACTTTATGTTCTTTTTTTATTACAAATTGATTGCAAAAAAGTATGTAAAAAGAGAACATAATAAAAAAATTTTGTTTTCCGCGCGCTTAGTTTGATTGACAATTATTATTATTATTATTATTATTATTATTATTAGAGAGGGTGGGTTTCCCCATGCACTTAGACCAGTTATTGGTCCATTGTACGTCCCCCTTTAATTTCTACTGTCGCCATACTCTACTGGTACTGGTGCGTGCTATCAGCCCCGTTCAGCCAACGAGGTCGGCCCTCGGTACCTGATATTTCCCCCATCTACCAGAGGCCTAATAATTTTGCTCAGAGGTCTCCTAGAGACATGAGGATCTTTTACGTGCCGTAAAGCTACGACACGGGACCTACGGATTAAAGTCCCTCCCGGAGGACTTGTTCCCTGAATATTTCCACCCTTCAAAATTCCACGACCTCCGCCGGATTTGAAACTGCGTACCTTGAGTCATGAGGTGGGAACGTTACTCCTAGACTACGGAGGCCGCTTGATTGATTGACAATATACTAGATGGGTTTAGATGAAATTCGTGGGTCAGCACTGAAGTTCAAGGGCGAATTTATTTCTCACTTATTTCCGTCTAATCTGATTCACACTCTGCCGAAATCTAAGCTATTGACTCTCTCGAATACATCGCGACATAAGAGAAACTGAAATGTATAACATTATGTGTTGTATATCAAAATATTCTACTGTGTTTGTTTCGTAGGTCTTTCTGTGTGACGAAAATTTAATGTGACATCATCATCATCATCATCATCATCATCATCATCACTGGCACGACAGCCCTTTGTGAGCCCTGGCCTTCCTCAGGATTGCTCGCCATTCTACTATATTCGATGCTACATTCCTCCAGTTCTTTTCACCCAAAATTCTTATGTCCTGCCACACACACCTTTCCCATCTTAACCTTGGTCTTCACACTCTCCTATTTCTTTCTGGTTTTGTATTAAGTATTTTCTTAATCGTTCTATTCTCGCTGGCATGTATTATGTGTCCAGCCCATTCAAGCCTTTTCACCTTTATAAATCCAATAATGTCTGGTTCATTAAATAGTTTGTACAGCTCATGGTTATACCTCTTCCTCCATATTCCATTTTCTTCCACTGGTCCAAAGATATATCTCAAGATCCTCCTTTCAAATATACTTAATAGTCTTTCATTCGATTTTGAAAGTGGCCAGGTCTCAGAGGCATAAGATAGCACTGATCTTATAAGTACTTTATACATCATAGTTTGGGTTTCCTGGGTATTAGTTGGGATTTCAGGTGTTTCCTAAGGCCATGGAGACATTTATTTGCCACAAGTACACAATTTTTTATTTCGTCACTGATATCATTTTTACAGTTAACTTCTGATCCAAGGTAAGTGAAACTACACGTACATACAACCGCAAATTTATATGAGCCAATTTCAATATATGTAGGTCCATTAGCACAGCCTTTCTTGGTTACCGGCATGTACTTTGTTTTATTTTGGTTAATTTGTAGATTCATCTTTTTTGCTGCTCTTTCCAAATTAAGAAAGCTACTTTCATAGATGTTTATGTTCTACCAATTATATCAATATCATCTGCAAATGCCAAAATTTGAACTGACTTGTAGAATATAGTTCCCCTTGTGTTGATTCCTGCATCTCTAACTACCTTCTCTAATGCTATATTGAACAAAAGGCAGGCTAGGGAATCCCCTTGTCGAACTCCATTTCTAGTTATTATAGGGCTGGACAACATATTCCGAATCTTAATTTGGCATTTGGTCTTTCTCATACTGGCTCTGACTACGGCGATTAACTTCCGTGGAATGTGCATCTCTTCCATTGCCAGAAAAGGACTATCTCTATCTATGGAGTCATAGGCTGATCAGAAGTCAATGAAAAGATGATGTGTTTCAATTTGGAATTCATTACACTTTTCAAGGACCTGGCGAACAGTGAAAATCTGATCGTTAGTTGATCTTCTTTGACGAAACCCACATTGGTAATCTCCAATTATGCCTTCCATAAAGGGAGAGAGTCTGTTAAATAGAATGTTGGAAAATATTTTATATGCTATGCACAACAGTTCTATAGTTAGAACATACCATGATATCGCCTTTCTTATGGATGGGGCATACAGTACTTAGGTTCCATTCCTCTGGGATTATTTCACTTATCCATATCTTAACTATTAGCTGATGTAATTGCTTAGCATATTCTGGGCCTGCAAATTTCACTAATTCTGCTGTGATGAGATCAATTCCTGGAGTTTTATTATTTTTCAATTTTTGATAGCTTCTTCTACTTCTTTATGGTCGGCGCTGGCTCTTCAGCCTCAAAATTTCCTTGATTCCGGTCTATGGTCATACCTTCCACTTGTTCAGAGGCGTTACTATTTAATAATTCCTCATAATATTGCGCCCATCTTTCCAGTATTGCTTCAGCGCTACTCAATTTTGTGCCTTCTTTATCTCTATATAAGGTTGTTCTAGGTTGAAAGTCCTTTCGACTCTTGTTTACTTTTGATAAAACGCTCTAATTTCGTCTGAACTTCTTAAATGATCCAGTTCAATCAATACTTGTTTATCATATTCCTTTTTCTTCTTTTTATGCAATCTTCTTTCTTTTCTTCTCGCTTCACGGTATTCTTCCACGGCCCCTCGAGTATGGTTCCTTTGCTGCATTCTCTTATGTGCCTGTTTTTTATTTGTCACTTGCTCACACTCTCCATTAAACCAATTCTTATACATCTCACCGCCTCACATCTTACTGCAGATATTACCATTCCCAAAGGATTTTAATTCTATATGAGACATCAATATTAACAAATTCCATGTTTTTCTCATTTTTCTTCAGTATTTTAGCCATTTTAAGTTCGTAATTGTCTGCAGAAGTTGTACTGTTCTTCTGAGATTCATACATTTATTTCTTAAAATTTCGGACCAAAATTTTCTTTTGTTTTAATTTGTAATTCTTTAACATCCTCGTCCCCTTTTCTCACACATACATCTTTAAACTGTTACGTTCATCTTTTGAATTGTTAGATATATTGCGATAGTGCACACAGTAGTTAGTCCCAAGACTCCTGTGAGATAAGGGGCCAAGTACATTTGCTGGCGTACCTCTTCATGTGTTATTTTCACAGAAAAATGGACAATTGCACTGTTCAAATTGGCGTATATATATATCATATCTTATGCAATTATTTAATAATTAAAATTGTAACGTGTATACCTATTGCTAGACAGCGGGTCGGTAAACACATTCTCGCAACACAAGCGAATGCGACAAGAGGACATCCATTACTAAGCAACGAGTAGGTAAACACATTTTCGACAATAGAAGACTGTGTTTTCTGTGTCATCCGTGACAAGGGATTATAAATGGGCAAAGAAGGTTGCTTGGGGAGGAGTAGAAGCAGGAGTACAAGGCAGTAGTCGTAAAGTGAAGTGAAGTGGTCGAGAAGGAATTGAATTGAGTCTTCGGAATTGGCAGCTGCAGAATAATGGCAAGAAAGGAATGAGGCTGTACGAAGAAGACTTCACGTATGTTGCAGTGACAGTGAATCTGTGATAAATCCGTTGCCCGGATATGACTAGTGAAGACTGAGAATCCTAGTGCGTGTGTAACGGTGAACTGAAAAGTGTGTAGAATAGCGATAGCGCTGCAATTTCCTGTAGTCCCGATTTCTGAATATATAAGGTGCAATGAATGCAATCTTCTGATCCAAAAACCCGGTTACGTCACCCAAACGCGTGAGAATATAATAAAAATCACCGATTAAAAACACTGATATGATAACAAAATCAGCAAGTAAATATTCGCGATATTTCGGTGTCATACATGTAGTGGAGGAATTGTTTTGGAAGAGACTGTGGACCTGTCGTCTTGACAGATTACTGATGATGATGATGATGATGATGACATGTAGTGACCCCTCGACTTATGACGGTGATAATAGAGCAAAAATGTGACGCACTTAACTGAAAACCCGCGCAAGCAGTAACGCTGCGCTGCCCCTCTGTGGGCGCGACAGTTCGTGAAGAAACTTGACCAGTTTTACAGTTTCTTAATCACTTAGACAGTCGGTAAGATTCACTGGGAAGCCGTTCAGTCCGTCGCAAGGCCGCTGCATACACAGGACAACACATATACAGGATAAACGCAGACAATCCTCCATACCTCAAGTGAGATTCGAATTCACGACCCCAGTGTGTGAGCTGGCGAAGACAGTTCACGCGATAGACGACGCGGCCACTATAATCGTCCAAGAAATAACAGTTCTGGCTTTTATTTGAGACCTGTCCGTCTCCAGTATTCGTCCTCATCACTCACCCTAGAATTCTACGCTTGCACTCCAAGTTACTCACAAATGCTTAAATAATTAGATCCAAACTAACTTCTTTTTACTCCATTCCCAAGGGCGAAGCTGAGAGTGATTGTTCCTCATAAGAATCATATGTGAAAACCTAAAAGTACTTACCTTCATATTAATTCCTTCGCTTAATTTTATGACAATCTATTTATGTATTTCAGGTAATGTCGGCTGGGATTATGAAAATGGGGTTCTTCCATATTTCAAAAAATCGGAAGATAACTTGGATCCAGACATCGCTCGTGACATCAAGTACCACAGTGTCGGAGGGTACCAGAGTGTTGGAAGATTTCCCTACACTGACGAAAATGTTCCAAATATTATAAAAGGATTTCAAGAACTTGGTTATAAGCGGGTAGATTTTAACGGACCACATGTTACAGGGGTCATGCATCTTCAGGCGACTCAATATAAAGGAGAACGTAGGAGCACCAATGGGGCTTATCTGGAACCTGTTCGTCGTCTCAGAAATAACATCAGAGTCATAACTAACGTCAGGGTTACAAAAATTCTAATTGACAAAGGAACAAAAGTAGCCCACGGTGTGGAATATGTTGGCGAGAAAGACAGACGTTTCCGTGGGAAAGTGTACGCGAAAAACGACATTATTGTCAGCTCGGGTTCAATTAATTCCCCACAACTTCTGATGCTGTCTGGCATTGGTCCTAAAGAAACACTGGAGACGTTGAATATTCCAGTCATTAAAGACCTTAAAGTGGGACATAACCTGCATGACCATATAGGTGCATTCGCTGTTAATTATTTCGTGGGAAACTCAACAAGACCCAACAGTAGCAGAGATTTCTTCAGGGACGCCACACTCTATTCAAGGAACCAAAGAACAGGGCCCTGGTCAGGCATAGGAAGTCTCTCAGTGGTCGCATACACTAATTCCAGGTACGCAAATAAATCAATGGATTATCCAGATATACAGTTTTCAACTATACCGTCAGTTGCAGACAGCAGAGACTCAGGCTTCTGCGATGTTGATGTTGCCGTGCCGTGGTGCTATTACAACAGAATCACATTTATGCCAGCAGTGCTCAGGCCAAAATGTAGAGGCTACCTTACCATTAACTCATCTGATCCCTTCGCACGGCCATTAATATACCCGAATTCATTCTGCGATCACCAAGATCTGGACGTCATCAGCGACGGTTTCAAAGCAGCAGTAAAACTTGCCGATACAAAGGTTTTCAAAGATAATGACTTCCGGCTTGACAAGACACCTCCAGCGGGGTGTTCGCATCTTCAGTTTGGCACAGACGATTATTGGGTGTGTGCCGCAATTCAAACTACTCACAGCAACTACCATCCCGTTGGGACCTGCAAGATGGGTCCTCCCACCGACCCCGATGCTGTAGTCGACCCTCAGTTGCGAGTGTACGGAGTCAAGCGTTTGAGAGTTATCGATTCATCCATCATGCCGGTCATAACCAGTGGCAACACCAATGCACCCAGCATCATGATAGGGGAGAAAGGGGCTGATATCGTAAAGAAGTCTTATGGCATAAAACTATAGGTTCTTGGAGTGCACCACAATATATCTTCTTTTTTCCTTTAAATGTACCATACACCTTCCTCCAGTCCTTCACGTGCAACATGCTTTCCTTTCTTCAGCTCCCCAACATGTAATGCTGCTGCTAATTCCTTGCCACGAGTAAAGCTACTTCTGTTCCTGCAAGTGCAACATGCTTACCCTTCTTCAGCTCCCCAACATGTAATGCTGCTGCTAATTCCTTGCCACGAGTAAAGCTACTTCTGTTCCTGCAAGTGCAAAAAACATTCTTGTTCCTTTTGCCATTTCCAGAACTTATTGTTTCGTCCGATTTATTCTGTTCCTTCTTCAAGTATAAAAATTTATATTCTTCTGACTATACATATACAGTTCTACACTTCTCTAAGCTCAGCCTCTCTTCTACACCGCTTTCTTCCTTCTGAAACGTAACATGCCTGTACAGAATTCCTGCTGTCTCTTCTTTCAAGAATAAACTTCCTCTTCAACACAGTGCTAATAATTATACTTCGTCCACTCAAGTGTAACTTATTTCCTTCCTGGAGCGGAACACTGCTTCCTCTTCAACTGTAACGAAATCCTGGTTTTCATCGTCTGAGCATCAGTCGCCATAAGCTTCTTCAGTTTATTTACTGCCATCATGCTGACGGTCCTCTATACCTTGCACTCCATGTTTCACCATTTATATAGATTTTACATAGATTTAACGTTGATTCTTATAAATATTTATAATAACTCTATTTTTTTTTCATATTTCTTTAAGCAGTTTATTTTCCCGTCTCCAGTCGTATAATTCGGAGTTTATCTGAATTATAGGATGTCCCAGGATGAAAGGTCTATACTCTGGGAGGTCATAGTATGGGTCAGTCTAAGCAAAAATATGTGTTTATATGTGTTCTCTTCCGAACGGTTTCCGAGATAGAGCTATTTCACTGTACAGTTCCAAAATTATTGATAAGAAAGATATTACATACTGTTTCTAATACCGATATTTATTTTTCGAATGACAAAGTTGACGCAGTTTACTAATTACAATACATTGTCGAAAATTTCATCGTCAACATCAGTGCACTTTGCAGCTCGTGTGAGGACAAGGCGTGTTGCTCGTTCGTACAGTGTACAGTGAAATAGCTCTATTTCGGTGCAGCTCGTGTGAGGACATGGCGTGTTGCTCGTCTGTACAGTGTACAGTGTACAGTGTACTGCATAGTGAAATAGCTATATCTCAAAAACCGGAATCTGACACATGTACATATATAACTTTTTGCTTAGAATGGCAGATAATGTGACTTCACGGAATATTGGCATTTCCTCCTGGAAATGTAGCAGTAGTTGCACATGTTGTTGTTGTATTTCTACTGGTAATATAGTTCATGCATACACTGTCTTCTCTCGCTCGGAAGCCAGGATCGTGGGCTCGAATCCCACTCAGGACATGGATGTTTGTGTGCTCTTCTCTGTGTTTGTGTACAGGTAGAGGCCTTTCGACGAGCTGAACACCCGTCCAAGGATTCCTACCGTATGTCTAAGAGCTATTAAACCAAAGTGAAACGGAGAGTTTCATGGAGGTAGGCCTAGGACCAAATGAGGGCTGTAGCGGCAATGAAAAATAAATATACTTGTATAGTTCATAAATCTGTTACATATTTAGCAGATCATATGTAGGTGAAGCGTAACTCAGATGTTCTTAGTTCTCTCTTCTGGTCTCTGTTTTACTCTTGCTGAATCTGTAGCAGGCACAAATAAATAAGTATGGAATGGCATCGAATTTAACTATTAATTTTAAACGTTTCATCAGTGAGAAAAATGAAGTTACTATGATGGTGACTGAATTGTACTTTGCCTTAGCAACCCAAAGTATTGTAATTTGGACAATTTCCTCGTTGACTAACTATTTTAGAGTTCTACTGTATTGCTGTGTATTTTAGCATATCTGTGATTAGCTGTTGATAAAGTCATGCTTAGAAGTGACAGTTTACTAAAATTTTCTTTTAGATTCTTGGGGTGGGGTGAGACTGAATTCACTTAGTATGTCGGCCACTAACTGGCCTATTATACTAGTCCCGGTCTATAAGTCGGTGGAATGAGAACTGGCAAGGGAAACCGAAGTAGTCAGAAAACCTGCCCCACTGCGCCTTTTCCATTAAGAAAACCACATGACTGGACCTGGCCTCGATCCCGGGCAACCACTTTGGGAAGTCGGCGATTAACCGCCTGGGCTATGGCACGGCCCTAATAATGGATCTTATTAACATAATATTGATTTGTATGAAATTATAAATATATTATTGATCGAACATGGAGGTCAGCATTTCGGAGACGCAATATGCCAGGCATTAATGACATGGCAAATAGCACGTAAGGGACAGCTTGAATATAATTGTAAGGGTTCCTCTGATACTGCACGCTATTCATTTCTTTCGGAAAGAACCGAAATGACGAGCAGAAACTCTGGAAATGGAGCAGCTAATAGCTAAGTTCTGTCACCATGCCAGGGGAAACCGGGACTCGGCCGGTTTGCTTGCTTTACAATGTTCTGTTGGCAGCAACTTTTATGCGCATTTTTATCCTGTTGATGGGAGATCTTCATCTACTGCCGGGTTCACTGATATTACCCTTCGCAGTGGGAACAATGCATATGACATAAATAAGTAATTTTTTGGAGCAGGTCAGTGGACTTAAAAGTGAAAGATACTGCAGCACGTAGAGCAGTTACTGGGTAACGCTCGCAAACTAATATATTTCACAGTAATTAATCAACACACAACAATAGAGGTACTGTTGGAACGATGTCTTCTACAGTGGTCCGTGCGGAGGAGTAGTAAGAGGGACGAAGTGGAACCTGGGTTCATACTCGTGTGGAGGAAAGTTCGGATACCTCCACCCTGACCCTGCGAGTCGTAGGAGGCGACGAAACGGGAAGTCTCAAATCTGAGACAGTAAAATTTGGTAGCGAGTCCCAAGGGACTCGGACCCGAGGAAGACTACCCTGTCAAGGACCAACAGCATATGCAAGAACCAGCCTTGTCTTCTCGTCAGAGAGGGTGCGCCACAAAAACAAGACTGCAACTGTCAAACAGTAATAGATATCTGGTCATGAGCCCAGACGAGGCTCGACATCAGTGCTAACTGACTGACAGCGTCAGTCGCAATGACTTTGACTTCGACTTGACTGAGTTCAGATTCCGTGTGGAGGTGGGGTCGAATATCACCACCTTAGGTCTTCGAGTCGTAGGAGGCAAAGAAAAGGAAGTCTCCAGTCTGAGACAGTAAAATATGGTCACGAGTCCCACGGGACTCGGGCCCAAGAGTAACTGCGCTGGAGAGGGCCAGAAGCAATTGTAAACGACAGACCCGTCCTCTCGTCATAGAGAGAGCCCTATATCAACAAACCCTCGACTGTCTGACGGTATTAATTATCTGGTCATAAGCCCAAATGGGTGGTTTATTCCAAGACAGACTGACCGACTGATCATCGGTAAAAACATAAGACTAACTCACTGAGTTCAGTTGTTGGAGTTGTGGGATATGTGTCAGAAGGTAAGAACGTAAGCGAACAATGTTAAAACCGTGAAGAAAGTCGTCTTCTGGGTTTAGGCACCGTGTATTCTTCGTTTTTGTCGACGTTTCGGAGGAACGTAGCGCCTCCATCTTCAGAGCAGTTGAATGGCTTTGAATGCGGAGAGCTGTAGCTGCTACTGCTCTCCGCATTCAAAGCCATTCAACTGCTCTGAAGATGGAGGCGCTACGTTCCTCCGAAACGTCGACAAAAACGAAGAATACACGGTGCCTAAACCCAGAAGACGACTTTCTTCATTGTCATCGCCGTGAAAACCTCAAAACTTACAATGTTAAAACCCTTTACCAGGAAACGATTAGAGAAGTCTTAGAACGCGTTAGGTGTGCTGTATTTACAGCGATTTTGGAGTAATTCAATGAGACTGTTATAATTCCTTGTAGTTAAGATCTGTAAGTGGTCAAAACCCCGTCTAGAGTCACTCGTACGCGTACAATGCTTATATCAAAACGGAACTGAACAGTAAGAAGTGCGATATACGAAGTTGAGTGAACACCAGAGAGGATGTTCTCGCAGCGGCCAAGGAGAAGGAGGAAGGTGAGGGCAGAATTGGCTCAACTTAGGCACCTAGCAATGTGGCAAGGAAGCTTTCAAATGGAGCAATACAAGCATACAGACTTGCTGCATTTACGCGTTTTAAATTAGGTGTTTGATATTGCTGAAATGGGAACTTGTAACAGAGACATAGTAATTCTGCCAGAGAAAGGATCAAGATTGTAAAGACTGGAAGAAATCCAGAAGGATTAGTAGAGTATATTTGGAACATTTTAAGTCAGATAATTAATTCATGAAATGTCAAGATAATGGAAGAAGTATTACAGATATGAGTAAAAAGTGAGATTTCTTTTTATTGATAGTGGGGTGGGACTAAGTTCCTTGTACTGTGGCCACTTCTGGCCTATTGTATCAGCCCCAGATGATAGGTGAGGTTGATTGTGGAGCAACTGGTGGAATGAAAATTGGCAGTGGAAACCAAAGTACTCTGAGAGAACCTGCTCCAGCGCCACTTTGTCTACCACAAATCCCACTTAACCAGACCAGGGATCGGACCCGGGCCGCCGCTGTGGGAAGCCAGCGACTAACTGCTTGAGCTATGGCGCGGCCCATAATAGTGAGATTAATTCACGTGCCAGCGTAATTATTAGTTCAGCATTAAAATCTTCGCGGTAATTGACGTCGTATAATTCCAATTTTACAACTGAATATGAGGAAGACGTCAACAATTACACAGATACATAAATACAGAAACATTAATAAAGGGAGACATGAAGAGTAGAATGGGAACAAGACAGACCTTCCACAGCTCTTTGATGCAACTTATAGCGGACGTAGGGACAGTTATGCCAGTTTAAGATGAAAACAAAGGAAAGATAAGGTCCGTAACGCAGAGGAAATCTGCGTTAATAAAGTTCTTGAAATGTCAGAGAGAAATAGGATCTGACACGTGAAGGGAATAACGCTACCACTGAATCAGCTAGCAGTGTTATGCAGTAAGCTAGGATAGGTATCCATCTACTCTTATTAGCAGAGACTGAAAATACTGTCACCTTTAGGGGCTTGCGACTGACTTATAAGACGGGTTCTCGATTGGATTTATTGGAACCTTATTTACACAACTTGGAGCAACAAGCAATAGAGTTCTATCGTTATTCTACACACTTCACAATTCACCGTTACACGCGCAGGAGAGTCCTCAGTCTTCTCTAGTCGTATCCTGACAACGGATTTATAACCTTCTCACTGTCGCTTCACATGACACATGAAGTCTTTTTGCACCGCCTGATTCCTTTCTTGGCATTATTCTGCAACTGCCAATTCCGAAGACTCCACTCAGTTAAATTCCTCTGCTCCCAAGCTCATGTCCTGGCAGGCTGGCATCTCGAAATTCGACCGACTCGACAACTG